CTAAGAGTATCCATCCCCCAGCTGTCATTTGAGTGGGTACTGCTGTTTTTATTGCAGATGTTACTGGCATCACCGATTTAAGGATATTGGAAACCAACGCAATATTACAAAACTTACTTTTAACACGCGGTTTGAATGAATGAAAAAGCTGAATCTAGTATTCTTTAGAACAGCATACAAATTCTATGGAATGAAATCATACACAAAAGCTCGTCAAAAACCTATAGCTCAATAATCAAGTGGAATTTGATGCACGTGCACAAAAATGTGCGCGTTACTACGTACAACCGAAGCACGCAAGAAAATGTGTGTGATGTACTAGTATTCAAAACGTTTGACTCGACTATGTTGGCATAACAGGTGTACATCTCGGTTTCGCATACGCATACCTTCTATCTCCACAAGGATATATTAATTTTGCCAAAGTCAATGCAGCACTGAAAGGTTGCGGTTCTTCCAAAAGAAAACACGTTACACATCGTTAGATACCAGTGGATGGTTTTACATGGCCTTGTTCGGAGTGAAAGACGAGGTCAAATATTCCAATCCAATTCAACTAATAAAATATTTCCCAAGTCCCTAAGCTTAAACTAGGAAAACGAAATGCGCGCGGCAACGCAAATGTAGTTTGAAGAGCGCAATAGAAAGTGGCTAGATGCTGTCGATGGATCTTACCTGGTATTAGTGAAATAAACTACCATTTATTCTACTAAAATTGAATTTCTGACATTGTGAGGAGATTCAATGTTACCATGTATGCAAAACTAAACCATGTAGTTATGAAATAATTGTTTTTAACAAAAAGGCGCTCCTGAAGTATTCTTACCAAGATGGCGCACAACCTGAACATTGTATGTTTACCAGGTCAGGGTTCAGGATGTGCGTCATCTTGGAACGAATACTTTAAATCCCCTTAAAAAGAATTGCTCAACATTATATACTCCACACCCACCTGGGTATCATTATATATGTCATATACATTATATCTAAACAATAAAAAAAACTTTATGTCCCAAAACAAAGTTAAGGCCCAATTCTGCCGGACTAACTGACTAAAATCCGTGTTCCCATGGATAAAAAATAATACAGCAAAATTTTAGACGAAATATCAAATTTCATAGAATTCACGCAAAATTTTGAAATAAATAAAAGTAATAGCCTTCTGGAGAAAAATTTTATCTTCAACCACTGAAAATTTCAAAGCAATTGGTCCAGTATTCGAAGAGAAAAGTGACTTTTTAAAAACGTGTCAAAGAACAAGAACAAGAACAAGAACAACAACAACAACAACAACAACATAATATTGAAACGATCGTTATGGCCACTAAACGTGTCCAATAAACGTGTCCAAAAACATGTACATGCGGAATCATGTACAAACACAATTAACTCTAGTGAGAATTTTGCTTCTGTTTCGTTTCCACTATAGGATTGCAAACGAGGCCTCGAAGAAGTTTCTGCAACACACAGCTCTGCAGCGGCGTGCAGTCGATTTCTTTGCTACGTTTTAATTAATAAAGCTAGTGAGGAAAACGTTTTTTCGCATAACGCAGTAACTGGTTGAAAATGCGGACAACAGTTTAATTGCTCGATTACTTAGCGATGGGCATTCGTTATCAAGAGATATCCACAATTGTGACAGTGATTTTTTAAAAATCTGGACTGTAAAGTAGAATCACAATTTTAATTAAGATTGTTTTTTTTCATCGGGTTGATCATATTAATCCCTCTGCAGTTGATGGACGCCTCAAACGAAATGAATTTACATTACAATGACAAAGTCGTCGGTGACTTGGCAGCAGGCTCAAAATCCTACTGTGTCTGCTCAAAATACCGGAAAAGAGCTCCGCGGCCCATGCTTTTTTACGCGTCTCGTGACCACCTTCAGGGTCGCAATAAGTTCATATCTTACTGGAATATATACTGTTCTTGACTATTTTCTGGTTTAAACAAAGAAATATGCATAACGTTTCATATTAGTCAAGAAAAGTACGCAGAACAGAAAAAGCACGCGTGCCGATTTTTAGGTTTCTGAATCTTGCGAGATCTGATAGAACGCATTCGAGATGAATCGGAACCGAAAAAGCGAAAAGTGTGATTACTGGACGCCAAGATGTCGCAAAAGACGTCGCCAAGATGTCGCAACATGACGGCGGATAAATTGCGAAATAAATCAACGCAACTTCGTCTTCGGTAAAGCGATTGAGACAGCCAAAAAACACAAAACTTCTCGCGGACCGGCACAAAAGCCTTGCGGACCGGCGGTTGGGAACCACTGGTTTACAGTACCGATAGTCTGACCACCAGATGTGATCACGGAACCACGCATCGATTCATACAGAAGGTTTTGCCAACGATGTCTTATATCTGACATGCTGTCAACTATAATAAAAGCTCGAAGAGAAATTTATAATTTAATATTATTTTAATATATTTACGTTATCACCATTTTACAACTAGGGTAACTGGCCCACGAACTCATATTATACAAGTCGATACATTTCTGAATACCATTGACTTAACGCGACGACTTTAATATAAGTCTGTATTGACGTTTTTGTTTGTCTAATGCAGGGGTCTCCAACTTAAAATATGTCGCGGGTCATTTTTTGAAATTTATTGACGACGCGGGCCACAAACTATATACAAAATTGTTATACAAAAGTAACAAAGTAAATCTGAATGAATTTGTTGAAATTACCATTGGATCTTACACCAAGCGAGACATGGAACATATTCGTTTACTTGTGCTGGATATTTGGCACCGTTTTGTAGCGGTGAGAGACTCGATGTTTGGCCTTATTTGCGTTGGTTTGCTGGTCTTTAGACAGCTTCCATTACATTTGAACCCACGTACATTTGAACCCATGACAATTGCACCTGTATGTTATTGCACCTATGAAATTTTTTTTGTTTCACGGATAGTTAAACCCATACTAACCCTAACCCATGGGTTTTAGCACCCGCATATAGATTGAACCCGTGGATATACGCATGGGTTCAAATGTACGGTCACCCTTTAGACAGCATACAAACTCTCGTCCGTTAGTCGTGTGCGAAAGGCTGATTTGTTAACTCTCATTGATAAAAAATTATTTCACAAGCCTTCAACATACACTCTTTAATAAAGCTTCTCTCGACGAAAGGACGCGACGATTTCGCAATCATCTCACTTATGGCAAGGCTTGCTTTCATAGAATCTTCACAAGTTTTGTTTATGTCTGAGAAAAAGTTCTCTGTTTCATCAGTGAAAATTTTATTTGAGATAACTTTTCGTGACGAATTGTTTCAGTATACAGGATATTTTTCCCTGTGTAATGATCCATAAGTTTATAATAATCTAGTTTTGCGTTAACTACACATATGATTGATAATCAACTGATGATTCACAACTGCACACTTCCATGTTCTGACCGAAACGTGTTTATTTCGTCATAATAAAAACGCGAAATGAAATGATTGGATTTACAATTTAATTATTACAATAGAATAAAATATGAACGCGGTGAAGTGGAGGATTTTTTGTTTTACTTTCAACAGTTTGTTGTACCGGACTCTTGATGTTAAATTACGCGATAAAACTCATAGTTGACATCATACTATTTTAGTTTATTTTTGGAAAAATCTCAACCACGACGCGGGCCGCAAAAAATGCTTTGCGGGCCGCATGTTGGAGACCCCTGTCAAAGGCGAGGTTATACGACTATTCGAAAATCGAAATCTTAAATCGATATGGAAACTATTCAAAAAGGCTACGTAATACATATAAATCTGATAATAAAATCTGTATTTTTTGCTCCTCTGTATCTGAATTTGGAATATTCCAATAACAATAATTTACAAATTAAACTTGCGCTATTGAATTAGTTTCTACAACACCAACTACTTATCATCCTTCTTCTATGCTTTTGTGCCGGTGGATCCGTATGGATATATTACAAGGTGCTATAGCAAGATTGCAGATGATAACTATTCTAATTTTGGTTCATCATCATTTCTATAGCCTTGTGTCTATAGCGATTTTTTGTCTTTTGAATGTTCGCAAGTACCACATGAGTTTCTGTCACACTTGAAAAATACTAGATTCTTTTTTTTTTGGGTTAAATCTTATTTCTATGTTGGTGTGCAGCGTGATTCTTGAATCACTTAGAATTACAATTCAAATAGCTGATTTTTATTTATATATTTATATATAAATATCATATATAATTTATCATTTTTTTAATAATGGGCTATAGGTAAACGACAGATCATAGCCACACATATATGTATTGCCCATGTACGTTTACAGAAGATCGGATTACTTATTACGGCTTGAAATATTTTACGACCTATTCGATGCTAAATAAATATAGCATGCCATAAAATGAATAATTTTATTGTTGTCCAGACGTATTGTTGATTTTCCATACATACGCTTACAGTAGAGCTGTATAGCCTACTCAAGGAGCAGTTCCTCGACGAATATTAACATCGAGAACAAAAGATTTGGCAGAGTCAAGAATGACGGATTATTGTATTATCGTTGTATAGAGTCATTGTATTGTTATGTCGATTTGTGTGAAATTTAATTTAGAGTTTTAGATTTAGCTTGAAAGCAGGAGACGAATTTAGATGAAGATGAAAATAAGATCTGGCCTAAATATTGAAGTCGTCTAATTAATATTTTTTTCCACGCTATAAGCGGTAATTCAAGATTTCTCTTTTCATTACTGAACGCTTATTTGTTTTAAAATGCTGACATGAAATTAAAATCTTTGATAAATAATTTGTCCAAAAATGCGGAAAATTGGATTTGTGTCAGAAGAAATAAGTTGCGTTAAGGTAACAGGGGGTTCGTTGTGTTCTAATAAGCCATTGCGGTTGTTGACAAGTTTACCCAAGCCAGAACTGGATCATCTGTAAGCTAAGTAAACATAACATGTAAATAGGGCTAAGAGTAGACGAGCTACATCAAAGCTCTATACAATTTAGTCCACGGAAAACTGTAATACCAAGAACATGGGTATCTCTGTTTGCTTCGTTTATGTTAAATGTGTATCGCAAATCGTAAATATGATTGTGTGATTTATGCTTGTACTTGCACGATTCATTTTCTTCTATAATGACATTCAAAATAATAATATGTTAAATGAAATTACAAGTTAAATACATAAGGTTGAATGATTTTACAAATTTCAACAAAAATAAAGTGAAAGCGTTGTATTTATATGACCATAAAACATGGATTTGGATCTTATGGCTGTCGCTACAGAAACAGAGACGGTATTGAGACAATGCTTGTTGCTTGTTATTCGATTGGACACGAACATGAAGCTACAGAAAGCTCAAACTTTATTGAGAGAAGAATTCGCAAAAATTCAACCGATTCCGATACAGTTTTACAGGTAAATCGTTATCGAAATTTCTCAAAATTGTCGCTTTTTATTCTGCACCTTATTTTGTCTTTATTATCGCATACAGAAATACTCAGGCAAACGTTTTAAAAGGATTTGAACAAAGTACGTCGTGATACGTAATGTCATAGAATTTTAAATAACCCTTGATAGGTTCCAGAAAGTTATTTTTGAAGGTGGCGATAACCTTGCGCACACGCACACTCTGCTTTCCACGTCCCAGACACGATGCCTAGGTGATTATTTTATATGCACTGAATGTTTTTAGGACAGTCTGAATAATCTAAACTCGTTATCCTCATTCTATATTTCGTAAGATTTAAAGTTGCCAGATTTAAGCATACTTCGAAGCGCAGTCAGTTTTTACGTTAATCTGCATCGTCTTCCATCGTCATATGCAGTATTCAATTTCGTAGCTTGAAACCTTTCGTAAAACATCGACATGTGTTTTGTAATATCGCTTATCGGAGTTCTTGCCGGACCATAAGACGCGATCATTTCTTGCTGATTAAATAGTTTTCTCCCCTTTTCTTGGAGTGATTCCTACGCGAGACGTTGGATCGTAATATTTTCATAAATAAAGTTCGCAGATTCAAGCTTTTCTTGAACGACACGATCGATATATATTGCGTATAGAATATGAACTTGAGAGACAAATATCGCGCTCTCACTTCTGCTGGGGGAATAATTAGGGCAATCAGGCACTTTCAGGACAATTCAGTCAACACTTTGGTGGAACATGCTATAGTCTTACGGTTTCAGAATTAGTTTCACTATTTTCGCTTTCAATTGAATGGGATAATTTATAAAGACAGCCAAGAAAATAAATCTTGTGGCTAAAATAGATCCAGGTTTGGAATACATTTATAATTTAGAATTACATCATCTTATCTGAAGCTAATATTTTCATTTCGGAAAGAGTTACCGAACAATTCTCGGTAGCACTTGAGACTATTATCTAATTTCGTCCCAAATTTATTTTAAACTTAGTCATATAAAATTGCATTACTCAAAATTTGGACCACATTTTATCCCCATGTGTCTCAATAATGAAATTATTTTGTTCACTATATAAAAAAATACATAAAAATTGTCTTCTAAAATTGATTGAAAAAAATTCTTCTGATTGTGATGTCTAATTAGTGTGACGGAAAGCGTCTGCTTTGATTGAAAATTTTTATTTTCCAAGGCAAAACTTACTGGCAATTTTATGAAAATGTCTCAAAATGAATAAAGTGCACTATTCCATTATCAGAGTGAAACACAAAATTGCGTAACGTTATGGTCTAGCCGCCCCAAACCTTCGTCCAGAAATCCCATTTACAGTCAATATTTTTATAATGTGTGATGTTTTTTTAAGTATAATGAGATTATCAAACTTCTTTTTCGTCCTAATTACCAAATTTCCTTTTCCCCAAAAAGATTTTTATATAGTTATTAGGAATAATACTAAAATGAACTTTATATAGCGAACGCATAGTCTTAAAACCATTTTCACTAAAACTTACTTTAACCTTTTATTTATGGAATATTATTATAATTAATTATTACAATAAAAACATTCATTATCGTATACCACCATGTCCAGATAAAAACACGAAGCAATCAAAAAACAAACAACAGAGCAGAGTCTAGTGTAGTTTCTAGTTCAGAACCCCGAGTTCTTTTAGTGGACGTGACGTAACAATTTTTAGGTGGAGGTCGGAAATTACATATGGAAAAATTGTTACGCCACGCTCACATGAAGTACTTGTGGTACTAAACTATAAGACAAGGTTGTCTAACAGTACCGTTATCAATAACCTTCCGTTGAGCAAGCAACGACTTCGCAAAATCAAACTGGAAGACAGTCGTGTTCCCACGAATAAAAATAAAACAGCGAAATTTTGGATGACATATAAGATCTCATAGATTTCACAGAAAATTGAGAAATAAATAAATATCCATCTGGCGACAACAACAGTCTTTAGCCAGTGGTAATTGCAAAGCAATTCGCCCAGTAGTTAAAGAGAAAGGCGATTTTTTTACAACAACAACAACAAATGAAATACTGACAACAACAATTTATCAAAACGATTGATTGGTTCACATCGTGTTCAATAAATAGGCAGAGTGAAAACAATTTGAGATACAAGCATAAGGCAGCAAGTATAAACGCTCAGTTAGTTTTTCCCGCATTGCAAGAAACAACTATACACCTGCTTTTTCGACAAACTTTCGATAATAAAATGTGTATACCCTCAACTGCAAAAATATTTACTAAAGAAAAGCACTCAGATACATGGGTGTAATCTCTATAAAAGAACGTTGTGTTTTCGGCATAGCTTACCTAATTTTATATAACTGGTTAAAATGACGAGTTGCTAATTGTACAAATATTTAAAGTTCAATATCCCACGTACCGATCTTTTCTATCGTTAGTGTAATACATCTTCCATGGTAATCATTATTCATTTTAAGCAAAGAACATTACTGACCAATAATGAATCACGAACACACCATAACCGGTGCTAGGGCGTAATACCAGAAACATATAATTAATATTTTTTTTTCCTGCTTTTGTCCCTTGATGGTTTATCTGGCAATTCCCCAAATGTACTTTTAAATATTTTTTCCAGATTTTTTGTTTTGTAAACTCTGTTGCTATTTTTATATAACACCTTTGATTATGTTTGATTTGTGTATATCTGTTTATATCATCAGTGATTCATGTTTGACCCCTAAAAAACCGAAAAAAAATATGATTGAGTTCAAAAACGTAGATTAATTCTCTGAAATGTTATAGAAATAGTCAATTCCATTGGGAACATTAGTAATTTCGACGTGGTATTGTGGTAAAGTGAAAGATGAGGCTACACTGCTACATTAGCTTTTCATTTGTCCAAACCTGTAGTCGATGTTTTTAGAAATATAATATATTTTAATGTAGCGCACGGCATAATGCAAGAACTGATAAATAAATTATAACTCTCTACGTAAAATCTCTAAAATGCTTTAAATCGCTAACGCGAGCTGTGAATGGGTACCATATTACACATGCACTATTCATTTGTACGAATTCAAGGCTTGTTATTTATACATACGCAAACGGAACAAAATACTATCTTTGTTGTTATCGAAATAGATGGGTATGTTTAGATGAGTTATTATTTTCAAATTTTTATTTTTTCTGAAACGAATCGAAACGTAATATGCGACCATTTTGCTTCTTCGGAATATCTATTCTATAAACTACACTTTTCCTGTTGCTTAGTTTATCAAAAATTACTTTTAGCTTAAATATCTTGCCTTTTGAGCAATATCCAGACAAGAAAAGTAGTTCCTTGAGTATAAATTTTCGTAAGGCTAGCGAAATTACAACTCATAATGCACACTCTTAACTTCGATAATCCCCTTCAGCTGAAACTCTGCATTACCTTCAATTTGGAATGCAAATTACTTTACGATATTAAATATACATTACAACAACAAAGATTATCTAAAATTACCGGCTCATTTAGGCTCGTTTCAGAAAATTACTTTCAAAATAAGACATTCGATATCTCGTTAGCATCCCAAATTCATTATTAAAAAAACTGCATGTTTGAAAATACTAGCATGGATCATAACTTTTTTGGTTAATGTGTTTATTCGAAAGAGGATATTTACTAAGCCACGTCGAAATTTTGTCACGTGTTTATAGTATTCCACTTCAAAATTTCAGATGTTTATACTTCATTTTGCCTTGTTGCCCACAGCCAGATGTTATGGATAAACATCTGATAAATATTATGTACTAGTTTTTATGGAATATTTCGAAATTAATGGTGTTGTTGAAGAAATCGGACGAATAGTATCGTTTCACACCTTTTGATGTTCTCTAGGGGATTATATTACCGTCGGTAAAAATGCAGAAAAAAAGCTACTGCTCCATTTCACTACTGTGTTCTGTAAAGAAGATTTTGCACTTCGCTTTTTTCATGTCGCGTGTGGCCAGAAAGGCGCTCATATTTTCACTTAAATAATTTATGTATTAAGGAATACGAACGGCTAGTACATTATGTATGATGTTAAATATATAATACAATTGAAACGAATATTCAGTTTCAAATAAACACTCTATATCTGTCGATGTTACGAATTGATAACTTATGTTATGAATGACCAATATTTGTTATACATTGATCCGTCTACCGTTGAAGGCCTTTTGTCATTTGCCCCTTTTAACATAATGTGCTTTTTTTTTGTTTTGTTTTTGTTTCTGAATAGGTTTTACATTTGTAAGATAATTTGGCCACACAACGCTGCAAAAATATTCAATTGAGTATTCATGTTATATCCGACCACCTGAACTCTGGAAGATTTAGAGAAAAAGTCCCAAATTATTAAGCAGCAGTTTTTAGCAAACAACTATTGGTGTCAGTCATAAAAACAGACACTCTGGCGAGTAAATTTGTCAGTGGTTATGAATTTTGCAAAACTGAATTCATTGCTAAATATGATATTCAGGTAGATTAAAACTTGGAAGCAATTCAAAGAAAAAACCTTGTTCTGAATAACTTAAATGTAAATTTGATGCTCATAAAAATAACTTTGTCGGCTCAGTAATTTTTAAGCATTGATATTCTGAGACCTTCTGTAGAATTTCAGTCGTATTCCGCAACAACAGAATACAAAAACTATACACATTTGTGTAGAATATAACTATGAGTAAATGGGAAGTGGATGTTTTAAGTGGTGGCATGTGTATTTTTGTGTGTTTATGGGTGTTTGAAATGACGTCATCAAAAATCTAAATCGTATAAATCGAAAGACATCAACTTTAATCCGAACTCCCTTTTAAAGTACAAAATTCACCGCTATGCCATATGGAAATTACTACTGTACGACCAAAACACTAAACTAAATCTGTATCTAACTCATCTTTGCGCATGCATACAAAATCATCCCGCCGATGTATTTCATGACATTGAACATAATTAATAACAGTAATTAATTATTAATAACTATTCATTTATAATTAATATTCATACCTATTATTCATGTTTGCTTACTTTTAAGTTATTATACAGTTACTCAATAAATACGTACTTGTATAAAATAATTTATTCATTTATATTTTATAAAATTTAATTATAATTCACGATTTTGTCTTCATTTTTATTTTTCAGATATAAATCAGCTCTTGCATTTTTTCTTCAACATTGCAGAGAGCTATGGGAAGACTTAAAACAGGAATCTATAAAACAATCAGAAAATCAGGTATATTATTTATTTGGCGCTTCAAAAGTGTACCAATATGGAGTAAACTAATTTTTCCGCCGAATTCACATCAAGTTGTATAAAGGGACTATTCACTTGACTAACACAGAAAGAACTAAATAAGTAAAAGGTAATGGAACTAAAATAAGGAAAATCGGAATAAATTTATCGCTCATTCCTAACCTGGTACATATACTACGGGAGTATTATTTATTTTGCAATCAGTTAAATAATTTCATTCCTATAATCATGTATAAATACATTTAATAACTTCATCATGCCGTTGTTGCGTTTTGACATAACCTTTTTTATTCTGAGATAACTACTCAACTATACTCATTTCAATGCTGTGGTAAGGTTTTATTAGTCGGGGTATGGAGATTGGTGTATGAACGATCCGCTCCCGGCCCATCTTTGTTTCAGTCACATTTAAATTATTTCTATCCAGAAGTGACTGTTACTAGCATTGTTTCATAAATTTGTTATTGGAAAAATATGAAAACGCAAAAAATATGGTATAACGCAATGTATAAAACTAAACCTATGAACTTCGTATTTTCTTTCCAGTATGCAAATTGCATGTTATTGGCAAACAATGAAGGACAATATTGGATTGAAATTGAAAGAAACGAGGTTTTAAAATCAAGGTCGTTGAATGATAATTGTTCAACATGGGAAGATAATGAATGGAAAAAAGCATGTGTTAAATTTGCACCGATTATTCCAGAAAAATTTCCAACACTTTTATTCTGACGAAGATCAGCATGGATATATTAGGCGACGCGTAATGAATGTTGGATTTTCCTAGAAATGCAATCGTGTACTGTCTCATTTAGACGCTCAAAAGTCACAGAGCAAATTGACTTATAAAGCTTAGTTTTAGATATAATGTATCACCCAGACATACAATATACCGTGAAGTCAAGTCTTAGTTATTAATTTTATTTTTCATTATCATTTTTTCCTTTTGTAGAGACTTGTTCTGTGCAGTTTAGATCATCGCGTAAAAAATTTTATTCGACGAAAGTTCTTCCGTTATATTCAACGTCGTATTCAAAGTACATAGCACACAATGATATGTATTGTTGTTCTCGCACGCATTCTATATTGTATTGGTCAACTTCTATTAATATTGTCTTTATTTTTTACTCATTCTGTTATTCTGTTTATAGATTGCTTTTAGTTTTATTATGTTTATTTATATTTATAAAATACAATTACTATCAAATTCCAAATGATTGTCCAAAATGCGAAAAAGACCCTCTGCACACATTCGAAGCGAACAATTTCATTGATATTATCACATCAGGATAGGATTTACATATTTATCCCGGGTAGAGGAAAGTCGATAAGACGGCTTAACTATGTGGCGAACCATGGCCTCTCGTCCGGTTACCAGTCCATGTCGGGTATGGGATTAGTTAGCCAGTTATTTGTTTTTGTAAGCATGGACTTAATAGTACCTGGTAGACAGCATAACATAATAGAACATATATTTGAATATACCACATATAACGTTTTGAATCGTTGGTTTATCAAGCAATTTTCAAGCAGTGTGCGGAATGTGTTAATCAAATTTACTGTGCAAGTTATGGTAAACATGGTTATAATAACCTCAAAACGTTTAGCCCCCCAGGTCGCGCTCAATTTGTTTTCCCAGCGTTCTATAATTTGTGCTTTCGTCAAAGTCCAGTTATTATGTGTAAAGCAGTTCCCGGTTTTGTCCAAAACACAATTACAAATTTTCTAGTGTGTTTTATAATTCGATTTTAAATCATTTATGACGTCCGTTGTAAAATTTTTGCTTCCAGATAATTTGGTTTTATTTTCACGCAACATAATTGATTGACTACGGACAGAAATGAATTATGGACTTCCTACTTCTCTCTGTAAAGTTGAAAGTATAATTGATCATTCAATAACGATTTTTAGAATATTTTTGTCTAGCGCTGCTTGATGAATTTAGACAATTTCCAATACGGTTATGAAAGATATTTCATCTTTTTGATATTAAAAAGTACTATTCTGGTTCTTGATCTACAATCGTTATTCTGTTATAAAGACCAAGCTAATAAAATAAACTGACAGTATACTTTTTCGAAATTTGGACTCATCCCAAGGGAAAACTTTTGGGTCGATGTTTTTCCGCTCTTTACTCACGTTTCGGTTGTGTTAAAAATATTTTCATTACATAAGCATTACTTAGCAATCGTTTTGTTTTTTTTGGCTTTCCTGTTTTAGATATTACAAACTGGCAGATGACCACGATTTTAGCACAAAAGCATAAACATGGAGAGACGTATATAGCAGAAATAATGATGCTTCATTTAACACATTGGGCAATTTTCAACAATGTTTGGATGGTATCCATAATGGTGTAAACTGAGGTCACTTTGACATAATAGCCATGAAGATAACATGAATAATGTAATATACATATATATTATTCCACTCCACCTTCCAAATTTACAAAAACAAAAACGTTGACGTTAATCAGTATTTCTAATTTTTAATATTTCGAAATATTTTAATCATTCCAATATCTTGATTCCCGATGTTTAGAACTTTCGATTCAGTACTGTTTAATCCGAAAAATAAATGCCCAACTCTCACTTAGAATTCACCGTTCCACGATCGTCGTTAAGGAGTATTCCTCTTTATGAAATTGATATTTCGAAAATATTACGTCCATGGAACCGCACATATCGATTATGATTGGACATATATATCATTCCTAGTTCTATTGAAATTCCTTCACGGTAGATCTAACGCAGGATAACGATTATACTTAATTGCATTATCCGAATGATAATCTATATTTACTTCATCGACGACATAAACAATTTTATGAATTCCTCAGAGAGTTTTAACAAAGGAACATGAATTTCATTGAACGTCTAGAATATATTAATTTATATTGGAACCCATTGGTAGGAAGAGATTTGAGGTGTGATGGAGGATAGCCAACGATTTTACGCTTCGTTTAGGAAGAAAATAACGCAAAATTAATCATGAAAAAATAAAATTCATATATATTACAACCTTGGGTGTTGCTGCTTGATTATCTGCTTGGTTGTCCGCGGCTTCCCTTCCCCAGTACAATTATGTTCTTGACATTTACACGTATTTTTGCATTTGTGTCGTTTGTTATTTTGCTAAAAGAAAAAATGTAAACTCGACTATGACTATGTTGACTCATTTAATTGAGCGATAAAACTTTTTTAATTACATGTGCATGAGTGGTTCGATCATAATGGCGTCAACGTGCTTATCAATCCCCGGCCGCAGTCTTTATTAGTCGAAAACTTCGAACGGCCCTCGCCTATATTCCGTGTACAGTATTAAATTTGGTTCAATACAAAGGATATTGAGATGTTGAGAGTCTCCCTCAGAAGATCTATACTCTATAGAGTTATAGACTATAGGTCGGAATTCTTATTTTTCACTCAGGATCGGGTTCGATTCCATCTTTCCACAATCCCCATTGTTCTAATCCTAGTTACCTCGATAGCTACCAATGCATAAGTAAGTGGATGTCTAGGTGATACAAGAATATGGCCCTATCAGTTACTATTCGTGCCTCTATTTCCTGAATAAAAAATTAATGAAAAATAATTATCAATGTGACGTCATAGTTGACACTAAACTTTCATCGAATCATAACTGTTTATGACGTCACAGTCCAACTTAAAACACCAAATTAAGAAAATTGAAAATTTGCTCCATAGCTTCTACGCACATTGCAATCGTTGGGTCATTAATCCAAATCGAAATGTACGTGTGGGCGATTATAGTGACTTTGTTGTATGAAATTATTTACGGTGAACGGACGTTCAGAGACGTGGTTTATCTGTTATCGATTAGCTACGATTTCTTAAAGTTCGTCGGAAAAAAAATCGACAAGTTTGTTCAGGACGCCAGAACTGACTATGGAAAAGAAATTGAGGAATTACAGATCTTTATACCAGAAATGGCGCAAAAGAATGTCAACCTGGAAAACTTGATTAAAAACGCACAGGAGAAAATATTGCGCACCTATGTCTCAAGACGCGGCGGAAAAGTTCCACGAAACGGTACAAAAACTCGTAAACGGAAAAAAAATAAGCGTCAAGGATCAAAATTTGATGTTCCGCAACCTGCAGCACGACGATGTTATCCCTCCCGCAGCACAGATTATCCGAATGCTGAGTCGGAAATTTGTAAATCACTTCAGGTCATGAAATGGCATGAAGAAGTGAAGAAAATCAATGACGAAAATTCAACAGTGAAATATTCAGATGAAATACTGGAAATGTTTCAAAATATGCAAACCGATCTGAAGGTTGCGTTCACGAAGGTAGCGTACCTCGAAGAAAAACATTCAATTTTGAATCCAGAATTCAAATCTCCCGATTTCAGACGAGAACATTTAAAGAAAATTATCAGAGATGAATGCTACAGGCTCGAGGAATTGATAAAGGAAAACAAAAGCATGGTGAAGAGATATAAAAGTGACTACAACTATCATCAGGTTAAAGAATTAACGGTAAAGACGCAATTAGATTGGCACCCATACACCAAATAGAAACACGAAGGCCGGTTTCTTTAATATATACATTTGAATATATACATTTCTTAATATATACATTTGAAAAAATAAAATTGTTTCTATTATTGTTATTGTCTTGCTCATTCTGGTGCACACAAAAATCAATATTCATTATTCGCGTGGGAAATTTGTAATTGTATTCTGTGAATTCTTGGGAGTGTGATTAAATTTTGTCAAATAAATGTCATGTGTATATTATAGACTTTGATATGAAACCGACCTATTATTACGAGAGAGTGGTGTTTCTATATGTCCTGTTGAAGTGTTTTCGTGAATTAAAGTTAAACAGCAAAATTTTGAGTGAAGTTCAACGCCTTACAGAAGACAGTCTTCTACCGGCTTTATATATGTTCAAGTATTGAAAATTTGAAATTGATTGGCCATTGAGTTGCGACAAAAACGATTTTTCACAACAAGAACAATTTACGGTACTGTCCATTACGGTAAGAAACAGTAGACATCTGTGAGAACAGAATGTTTGAAGTATATTTAGTCAGCCCATTACAGCAGTTTAGGTTTCGGGAACAAGGTTAGTTTGATAAAAGTCACAACACAACCGTGTTGCTGGTGTTTGTGATGAAATGGAAAGATTATAAAGAAATGTACGACGAGTGAGATAACATAATCTTATCGAATTTTGAACTTTTACCTGCACATGAGTGAATATTGGACGTATCTATATCAAAATGTAAAAGAAAGAATATTCGCCAAAACGATATACGAAAAAATAAAAAGTGTCAAATATTTATTATTATTATTATTAAAGATTTGGTAATGAGTATGATGAGTGGATTATGAATAATATTTTTCAAAAGCAACCGCGTCAGTAAGCATCATTTTTTTTGAATTAAATTAATGTGGTTAATTAGTACATTCGTGCGCTTCCAACAAACGGCAATCTTAAACACGAAAAAATAGGCAGACAACAATAAAAAAATGAACATAGCTATACCGATATTTGCATTCTAAACATTGTATAAGATAATGTGGGAAAATTGTGAAAACGGAAAACTTTTAATATTCGAATCTGCTGAACTATATTTACTATTAACTATTAATAATTCGACTATCAAGTAAAAATATCAGCTCGAGAACGAATACAGATTGCAGCCTCACATAATCTCAAATCAGCGCTAAAGAGTGAAACAAAAATAGGTTGGTCATGCATCCTGATGAGTATCAATATTTTTACATAATGATAATATGTTTCGTGACAGAATAGCAAAGCTTAGTGTGACGAAAAAAGATCGTTGTCTCGTGGAGAGAGATGAAAGTACCAGTAATTTTATAATTCATGACCAATTCGGTGGCGAGTCAAATTTCATGTTATGCGCGAAAAAACTGATATTAATCGGGTTCCGTGCTATGTAAAATATACTGAAGGTATTAATTTTTAATGTACAACTGTGTTGTAATTTGCACCACGTTACGAAAAGTAAATCGAGAATAACGAAATTCAATACATAAGACATGCTGTTTCCCGTGCTGTGGGAATAGGATTCGTAGTTAGTTGATATGATTCGTTAATTAAAATTTAAAGTCATCAATATATAGTGCATGCACACCTGTGACTTACTGATTGTTGAGTATTCTGAAAAATCAACAAAATGAATGAAGGTTTTGTTACATGAAGTAATACATAAGGGCCACAAATAATTGTCGCGTTATTTATACCGCGCCAAGCATGATTTGAAGTAGATAAAAAACACGTGTTACAGGCATAATTTCAATCAGATATATAATACACATGCATTGGATATTTATCTATGGAATGCGATATCTCACTATATTACGCAATATATCGATCCACGTGTCAGATTTTATTGTGTGATTATTTTCAATTCTATCTTTCTTTCGGTTCTCTACATTTTTTTATTTTTTTATTCATTCGCTCCGACAAGGCATTGGCAATATAAAAACGACGCTTGCTATCGAGTTTTACTCATACCACTCCATCAGGTTCAGCGTTCAACAAGTGGTTTCATTGCAGTATAAAAGAGAAAAAACTCTCGTATAAAATGGCTTATAAAGAGTACATGGCTATGTGGTGCATTTTCTTCATAGCTTTGTTGAGTGCTGGTGATTGTCAAGAAGAAGACACCGGTGATCTCGCAGAAGCAATACTTCGAGCGTTCGGTGATGTTCAAGCTGATTGGCCAGGTGCGAAAAGCATTGATGATGCTGACGATGATGACAATTCTGAAGTGAGTGTATGATTCTACTTTTTTTGTTTTGTATTTCTCTTTTCTAGATTTATAAATTATCGAATTTTTCCAAATTCACTAAATTTGAATAAAAAAACACGTCCTTTGGAAAATTTTAATCAAAATTGGAAATATTCATACTGAATTGAACGTTTGGAATGTGAATGCGCAAAATATAGTTATATTTGAATATGAACGCTCTGTGAAAGTTTGTACCGCGTACTCACTGTGCACGCCTGTAAAAATATAACTATGATGAAATAAATTTTAGTAATCGACGCTTTCACCTTTATCGTGGTTTTATTCTGATTATTCTGCTAGATTTATTCACAATTGCGGGGTAAGCTTGAATGACGTGTTTAGCGGGAATTATGATCTGTTTCACATAAGTTATGATTTAGAGTTTGTATTGACCATATTGTCGCTTGCTGGTTTTGAATTTGGTGACGGTAGTCCAACTGATCCCGGTTAAAATACGTTTCAAGGAGCCCGGAACAAATTGCCATATTTAATAATTTTCAGTTGGCTACTCATGTACCGCAAAATCATCGCAGCGCGCTCGATAGATATACTGAGCCTTCTAAAACTGATTACTACAAAAATAACTGCAATATATCAATATATTTTTTCATGATTCATTTAATTTCATGAAACAGTAGACACAATTTTGTTACAACATATTTATGAAAATTATATTTTTCTCTGACAGGGTTACGAATTGGAGAAGGCGTTGGATACCGTCAAAAGATTCTGGAGTGGGCGAACCCTTCTACAAACGGTAAAAATGAATATTTGTTTGATTATATTCAGCTCCTGAATATGTAGTTTATATCGAATAGTGCATGCGTAGTAATCATATCATCTGAAGCGGAAAAAAATAATTAATTTTCAGCGACTTTTACTCGTGTGATTATTGTCAGCTTTTTCGTTGCAAACCCTTTAGTGATACGAAGTTGTCTGCAGTCAACTCTCGAGTATACGTAGTTTATATATAGAATACTGCATGTGTAGTAATCATATCATCGGAAGCGGAAAAAAATAATTAGTTTTCAGCGATCTTTACTCGTGTGATTATTGTCGTCTTTTTCGTTGCAAATCCTTTTAGTGGTACAACGTTGTGTGCAGTCAACTGCAATCTATGAATTTAAAGTGAATTTTTTTTATAAAATTCAGTTACGTGAAGCGCAAACAATTTAAATCAAAATACTTAGGCAAAGAAGTAATAACGAAAATGGTAGCTTTTTATGTATCAGTGGATGCACATGTACAGAGATAATTTTAATGTCAAGGTCTAAAAGTCCCCCATAAAAAATTGTACACTATAGCATGGCGGTGCGTAGCGTTATGCTGGTTGTGATTTGAGGTAGCGCCAAATTTTCATATTAAATATATGAATGAAAAACGGTCTTTCAATTTATTCATGTGTCATTTACTAACATTCGTATTTATGACTGATGATTTTTATAATTGCGTTAAGTCCTAATCTCAACCAATACCCATGAGTCCAAAACAGCAATTGATATAAACCCATAGATTCAAAGATTTCGATTGTAGGCAGTTTCATCCCAATGAACATATTTTTATCATGGATAACTGTCTTGAGTCATGAGATAAAATATCTCTGGGGTATTCTGAAGACCCGTGAGATCAAATCAAGTTGAGATTTTAGTATTTAATTTGAAGGCCAAATCTAACACCTGTCGATTCATTGATTTCATTTAGCGACAGCAATGGGATGGCGCGATGAAATCGTTATCGCCTTCACCCAATCAAAGTGACGGAGAAAAGAGCTTGAACCTCACGCCCTGTTAAATCCATTGACCCTGATGAATAAATAATAACCTACGTCACAGAGGTTGATTATATATGTATATATGATTGCTCTCTTTCCTTGTTGGTATCTGAAGTCAAATTTAAATTTATCTTTGTTCCAGCTACTTACTTATCATTCCATATAGTTGTATAATGCCCAAGATGTCTCTTTGTAGAAAAAAGTAACGATATTTATTTCTTCCTTCCAGTGTCCTTCTCACACTCAATGTGCAAAAATGTTCGGGAAACGAGTGAGAAGAATGTGTGATTGTCCTCAGGGCACAAAATGTATTACAAAATCCAACTACGCATTTTCAAGAACCATTCCGCACTTCTGTCTCTAGGAAGTCAACAGATAAAGGATGAGGACTAAATTTTGTGTATACGGTCTATATACGACCAGATTTGATTATTTGTTTTATTAGTTTTCTCAGATAATTTTTGATTTTAAACGTTAATATATTTAATTGTTTTTATATTGATTATACTTTCTGTAAAACTAACAGCAATAAACCATAACGTGGTTGCAAAATTGTGGTCATTATGCCAGGCCGCCCATCATAGTGTCTAAAATAGTTTACCTCATATAGAGAAGCGGTTCGCAAACTTCTTCTTCGGGCTGCGCCAAATTATCAAGGAAAACGCACGGCACAAGCTGCTTTTAAAGAAAACTCAATTTTATGATCGTTAATGTGTACTTTATGCCTTTTTAAGTTTGTAAACATGTAGGCCTAGGGAATGAATAAAGGCAAAAGGTCAACTCTCTTTCCTCGTATCTGCCTGAATTTTCTTTAAAATGCTGAAAAAATCACTCACGCTCGTCAGAGTCCGTTCAGCAGATAAATAAACTGCAGCTCGCGAGTTTGCAGCAAGCAGTGGTTATCTCTATTGTTACGTACCAATATAGGCAGATACTAAGAGAAAGTAAACGACATAGGAAGATAAACTGAATTTATTGATTCATATACACAGCATTTAAAATAAGAAACACTAAAACATTCATAATAAATGCAATATGTAAATCATTCGATTATATTTTAGTTATGTTTAACACAGTTCTGTTAATTTTCGTGACGCACTTAGCAACTTTGAGAACCGCTGTTATAGAGGACAAAGGAACCCTTTCGTTAACCAACAGAATTGAATATATAGTCCCCCAAAACACATTTTATAGACTGTTCGCTCTTGTAATTGTATGCGGCTGTGCATTTTACCCTCCGTGCAACGATTAAAGACAATCTAGTACCATTCATGATGCTTGTTTGGGGAAGGGCTCTTCAATCTTTTTACTATTATACACCTTTCTGCGACGAAGTTTCAACTCTGTTCTTTTCTGGTTCGCAAAAGTATCATAATGTATTCATGGCCTACTTCAAATACTATACCTAGCAGAGATAAAAAAATATATATATATTGTCCTCAGGCAGAAAATGCAAAAAGTATGAAACATGACAAACAACAGTCGCTACCTTTCGGGAAGTCGAGTTTCTGATAAAAAAAAAGCAAGTGGAACGTAAAATACTCGGAAAAGTACTAATGCGCAGGAAAGTCACTATCTGTGAGAAAGTTTATAATAAATAATTGATGAAACTTTTTTCGACAATATTTATTGATACAATTGTAGACATATGTTGGATGCATCATATGTTTTGAAGTGTTTTACCATTTTTATAGCCGTGTATCGGAATGGGGCAAGACGTCATAGTCCTGCCGTTTGAATATGCTCTGTAATCAACTTGTTTCCTCCGGAAATTTATCAAAAATCTCATTTAAGTAGTTTTCTAAATTGACATTACTTTAACTTAACCAAATTCAATCGTAAGTTTTTTTTGCTTGGATCTAAGTGAACAATATGTGTACCCCCAATATTTCGACATCCTATACAATGTATACATTACCATCGCAAATTTTTTTATGTTCATTTTAAGAGTGGTTTAGCGAATTGACATCTATAAACTAGTTTACATATTTCCCAAATCATCATTTTAATTTAAAATATCAACCACATATCATTTAAAAGTACCGGTAGAAAAGTTTAGGGTAGCTATTTCTGGACTAATTTTCGATTACGACAATTGAACTGAATCTCTTAGGAAGATGAAATGCTCATCGATTTATTTAATTCATACTCAAATTTCAGAAATAAAACTAAAAACTGGCAAATATTATGCAAAACCAAGCATTTCGAGAATTTGTTTTTTCATCTCATTTCAGTCATCGTCACTATAACGAATTGTCGATACAGAACAAACTGTGTTCGAATTGGCCCAGCGGTCATTTATCATGAAGGCTGATTTGGACGTTCCGACGTCAGTCAGTGTAGTACGGGATTAAATGAACCATTTGGTATATTTTCAAATTCCATAATGGCCACAAATTCAACAACATGATTTATCTTGTATAAAGAGACAGTAATGAGATAAATCCCATCTCATCAAAAATGGATGCAGGCGCTCGGGTCATACTTCTCAATCGTATACTTAGAGTCAAATCCCAGTGCTTCTTGTACCATTTTTTCTAATCTTAATTTATCTAAAAACAACGGCAGATAAGCTAATGGAGAATCTTCTATAAATTATACAAGTTGCTTTCTTCGGCGGTCCGAAAATTAACGTATTCACATTTTAATTTTTCGTGGAATAAAACCGACAGGCCATCAGTCAATATCGTACATCGATTTTAGAAAGTAATATATTTCACAACAACATCCCCATTTTTAGTCACGAAGTGTTTATCAAATCGTTATCGTGTTTATGAAAAAAAAATCGCTTTTCTTCGAGATGGGGCAATCGTTTGCAAATTTTTAGTATATACCAGAGGTACAGTTGAAGCCGCTGAGAAACTATTACTTTTATTATTTCATTTTTGTCATACGAGACTTGACATTTCACAAAAACTTTTGCAATATTATGTTAATTGAAGTACTCCTTTTTATTCGTTATTGCTTCATTACTTTCATATTGCATGTCCGCAGATCTTTTATGCTATAACTCGGTGCTATCAGGCAACTGCTTGGAAGACAAAACACAATGACCGCAAATGTATTATTATTGTCAATGTCATGTGTGATAATCAAATATACATTCAATTCATAAACAACAAACTCAAATATAATTACCCATATTACAACAAGCTACAAAATTGCCATGACGTGCATGCCTTTTGCTTTGATGTCGATTTTTGACGTTTGAATGCATATGACATTATGATATACCCACAGGTTAATTCATATAGAATTTTGTAATAAGACACGCAGTACAGCTAATTAATGGCAATGAAATGTCGGACGAGAAATAATAAAGAATAAAAGATTGAAATGTTGGCTTTACAACACTCCGTATAGCAGAAGCTCACAATGGATTAGGAACAAAATGATGAAAATTTATAGGAGCACAAAATTTGCAAAATACATATAAATATTCCGTAGTTTGTGCAAATGGAGTGTTTTAGATTGTAGAACTATTTACTATCTTAGTCATTTCATTCCAAATTGGATTAATAATTTTCATTATTACTTCATTAATAGGATTTGTGGCTATCAAAAATTTATATTATCATCAAATTTTTTGAAATTATTAATATTTAGTTTAACATTTGACGATTTTTATTTAGTTTCGGCGTGGAGTGCGCATGGATTAGATCAATTTTTACTTCTCATTTTATTAATTTAAAGTAACAATTTGTTGATTCAGTTTCATTTAAGTTTTTGGAGTTTTCAATTTTGAAATAACATGAACGCAATCGAATTCTGTGATTTGCATGCCTTATAAACCGCGAATTAACTGAAACAATTAAAAATTATAATATAATACTGTTTAACATATTACAAAATCAATAAAAACTGAAAAAATTTGGACATAACTTGTCATGGTATATCATTTCCTATATCTTTAAAGAATTATCTTGCGATTGTGAGAGTCAAATCTAACCCAAATAACGGAAAAACATATATATGGTATTATGACCTGTTTCGTGAATAAATGCACTACAATTGCGATTACATAATTGCGCTTAATTAAAAAATAAATTGAGTTAATTAAATAAAACGACAAAAATAATTATAACAGAATAGAAATAGCAAAAAAATCATTTTTTAATTAAACATTAGGTCCCTACTGCACAATTTGATAACACTTGTGGAAGAATTGGAATTCACAACACAAATAAAAAAATCTCTATAAATACGTGTTGCCAGGTTTTTACATTATATACACGTTGTTGCTATTGGCAATGATGGTAGAATAATTAAAAAGAGAAGAAGAATATTATAAACGAACATAAATTTCCACACGCATAAAATATGGAAATTTGGTTCGGCTTTGAACAATCGGTCTGATCCGGAAGAACGTTAACCGTATAGTGCAATTTAGCATGCAATTTAGTGAAAGTTGAATTTCTCGTTTTAGAGTATACACATAGTAAGCTATTGTCTACACGTTTTCGACAATGTGAACACCATTTCCGTTTGTCTTAGAATCTGGCATCAACTTTTCCATCTCAATTGCAGACGCGTCACTCACAAGCGTTGTTTTTGTGGCAGAATTTTGAATTTTTCTGTAAACGACAATGGTGTTATACTTGAAAAAAATATGTAGAGCCTATTCGTATTTGGTGAGAAAAAATTCAAAACATCATCACATGAAAATATTCATCATTTAAATGAAACTATTGCTGACTATATTATGTTTGTTACAATTTTTGAACTCATTTGAACAAAAACAGTTTTGCAATAGAATTCTGGAAGTACGTTGACTGACAGAACAAAAGAATATATTTTGAAATTCTTGTCGTAGAGTTACTCTATAAACAAGGAAAATTGAAAATAAAACACCACCAATTCAGTCATTGAACAAATCAGAGTGACTAACAATTTCTTCGAGAGACTCCAGAGTGAATCAAAAAAAAAATTGTAATTCCATATACTCAGAAGGACAGAGGAGTATATCAAGTTTATGCTATATGCAACCAACATTATCAACTAAATTATTACCTTTCTTTCCTTTTTTCGACTTCTTCAAGGTTATCAGCATCTCCTTTAGTTCGATACAAACATCTCATCACCAATGACAGAAGAAAGAATTCAACAATCTGATATAATGAATATTCGAAGTTATCACACAATCAGAAATATTTGGCAACACTTACTCGTGAGCATGAACTATTGTTGAATCATAAAGTAAACGTATTCTTGGTCGGGACCTAATTTTCTAGGCAAAATGCAATGTAAGCAGCATAGTGATACAAACACAGAAATGAAAAAAATACTTTTGATTGGTTTTACAGCATGTGAGAATTCACTTGAAATCAAACCACAGATATTCACAACGAAATGTGAAATTTAAATATTGGATGACGGATGATATTGGGAATGACTCAAAATCTGAGTGATACTAATGCAAACTTAAAAAGCGCTATTTGCTCTCACAGTAACTTTTTATTTATCTTGACGGGTAACTATGATTAATATCAGTGTAGACAACAATTTATATATCGGCGGTGTCAGCAGTTAAGTAATAATTAATAAACAGTGAACGTGAAGTTGCCTGTCAGATATCAAACAAGAGTATCGATCCACCACACTATCTTTATGGAGCAGAGTCTGAGCGGATCTGCCTAATTGCATTGAATAAATTTTTTGATTTTGACTCACTCTCTGATCTCTGGCATTTACGCCATTATGTATCCTCAACATGACTATACAAATGCTCATAATAACCAGGATCTCAAAACTCAGATAACAAAGAAATTTTAAATTTGCATATATCCTTTCGGAAAATATTTCTCAGACTTGAACATGTGTCAGACGGACATTGACAATTCACCGGATTGAAGAAGGCTACAATCAGAACTCCTTCAACTGCGATACCAGCCCATTCGCTGAAGACCCCCAAATTTTTCATAAAGCGAGCGCAGTCTATTTAAATTTCGAGCCAGAGTCAACTAAGCTAAAATAACTTACAATAATTTGATAGTTAACAGTGATGATTCTCCCTCTTGTTGTGTATGGAAGAACACATGGTAGTGAAGCTAACTTCAATACAAATGGCTGAATGTTGGAAATAAGAAGCACAGCCTGCCAGAGAGAACATATAGAATGAAATATTACAAAGCAATGTTTAATTAACAAAAATGATAAGCATTGTTATAAACATAATCAGTTATGTACTGATATGTTAGGCACGGAACATTGCCACACTTCGTATTTAAAAATCAGTGTATTGGTTTGCATATATGAATGACACAGACCATTTACCTGCAAATATTTTTCCTTTGATGAACGAAATATTCACTACGGCAATTTCAAATAAACGGACATTGATTACTTCTACTAATTAATTTTACAAACGTCATTTCAAAATCAACCACGTGATATCGATTACAGATGTACATAGTTCACGAATAGATCTACCACCCCTAGAAACTTAGACTATATTCCATTTGAAAGCAATTATGCATAAGTTATAATGTGTATTATCGAATATACTCACTTGAAAACAAAAGAATTTTGCGGTGATATTGAAATGGCTCAACACTGTACTTGATACACCTCTTAATATGATCAATGCCCACATGCCAGTCAACATGGATATTGCAAGAACAACCGTGAATATTAACTGATAATTGAAAGATATTGATTGAATCAAAACAATGTTTTTTTCTTATTATACAAATTGGGATTCCATGCCTTTATTAAAAGTAGAGACGTTCTGATGACTATACATGAGTTTGTCTTCACTACAGTAATTGATTGACATGTGAAAAATACATTTGCTCCCAGTTCAAACCTTAGACGTGGACGCCCAAGAAAAGGCAAAAATGCGTAGAAAGATAAGAAAGATAAGACAATATTCATCAATGATTGATCATTGTATGAATACTAGTTCAATTTTTACCTCGCATATTAGGTAAATTAATGGGTTCAAGCTTAGGAACAACGAGACTGACTAACGATGTTGACTAACCCATTTCAACGACTGCTGAACATTAGTCTATGCTACGACCCTTCAGAGAAATAACTCTTTACAATAGTTGAGAATATATAATCATAATATCATGAAGTATAGAAGAGCAACCGTATGCACTTTTCTTGGAGTGAGTATTTTCCACTCTCTGGTCAGGTGCTGCGTCTCAGCAAGGACTGGAGATTTATTTCTATATATATACACCAAAAAACAGGTATTCTAAAATTCTAGTACAATAGCGATAAAGTAATTTCGCCAAACATTTTGTAAATTGTTTTTGAGCAAAGTCATCGTGAACCATTCTAAATATATAATTTGAATACCTCGTTTATTGAAAATGTTGGGTCGAGTACAAAGACTCCTCGAAAGAATAAAACGACTGGTCTTGAGGCTGCGGCTTGAAATGTCAGGCAATACAAATATTTGAACGTTTTTCTGTGCAAAATAAAGAAATATTATGTAAAGTCATTCTTATCATAAAAAGTGACTATCTAGTTGCGCAATGCTTCTGAGTAAATTGATAGAATTAAATGAATTCAACAACGTCAGGAAGGGAAAATATTGATTTTTTGTTTAAGTAGGAAAATATATAAATTGTAGAGGTGAAACTTGAATTTTCTCGAATTATTTTATGACTAAAACTGTTTGACGTAACAATGGAGAAGTTGATTTTGTGTGGATAGGTATCTGACTCCTTAATGTTGATATATGGAAGTCATTATCACGTATGATATTACCAAACCTCCCGAAAAAAAAGAACAAAAGACCAACGGTTTCCTAGTAATGAACAGAACTTGAACAAAGATTTATTTTGTTTGTTTTCAACCTGTTTTAAAAAGTGAGATTGGGTTCAGATTTCGTCTAACTTATTCATTTGATGTTATGTGAGACGCGTTTCCGTGCTTCATTAGAGAAAGGCGCGTGATTCCAAGAACATAATAAAAAAATTCGAAAATTCGAATTTGCTGGTTATGTAGGTGGCCCCCTTACCTGCATAACCAGCAGACATGCAGGCATAAACTATATTTTGACATGTCCTTAAACTGTTTTTTGACGTCATCTGACATAATATTAAACGCCGAGTTCTGTTTTACATGTGTAATTTATGAAACATATGTAATAATTATGCATATATGACGTATAAATAGATCATAAATATAAGCATATTAATCGTAAACAACATAAAACATATGTACGACGTGGTAGATATTGGTAAGGTCATTATGTTTGTTTAATTTAACTCTAAAAAGAAAGAGAAAAAGAGAAATACGAGGTAAGCTTCAGATAACTAAAATTTAAAAATTATAAGAAATGTTTCAATTCAATACTACTTTTATCTGAATATTTGTTCCAAGCAAGAAGTGAGCTAGTTTGATTTTAAAATGTCACGTACCAAGCTCGAAAACCGACCAAAATATTTAATTCAGAAATAAAATTTGGAATCGAGAAATTATGACAGTGAGGTCAAAGCCCTGTCAAAATATGTTTTTCATATTTAATATGTATATGCATGTAATATTGAATATGTTTATGTGAAGTAAATAGAAAATAGATTAAAAACAACATCAAAGGTTGTTTACTTCAGAGACAGAATGACTGTAAGGTCGAGAAAAATGTAATGGGCGTGGCTTCCCCGGAAGTGGTTTCCGGTTGAAGCAGTTGATAAAAACTTAACATCGATATGAAGGAAGGAACAAGTTTGCTTATGTAGAAAATAAAAATTAAGATCAATTAATTCCGACATATTTTTAACAGACACTGTGTTATTCAATTATAAGTAATTTCACTTTATATTTCAATATTTTTCGAGTCAATGATTCTCAAAAAAAAAAAAAAATATTTCAATGCAAAATACGATGCTTCATTTAAAGGAAGTTTTAAAGCAGGGTCGTCATTTTAATGAGGTAAAGTATTTTTGAGGTAAAAAACTTGAAGCAACAATTAGTTTTCGATATTTGACAAATATGTAAAAAATGGACTTTGGCACAGCAATTTAACTCTAAAAAGAAAACGAGAAAGACGAGGTCAGCAGCTCCAGATAACTAAAATTCGAAAATTACAAGAAACGTTTCTCAGCCACATTACACATTAAAGGATCACGGGAAAAGCTGCAAAAAATACTCTGGGGCGTCAAGATGACGAATCCGAGCATAAGAAGTTGTTAAAACATTGATTTTCAGTGTATCATCCATCTTAATTACGAACAGATAATTTTGAGAGCTTTTATGGCGCTAAGATAGGAAACCACGATATCAATTTACGAATACAGAAACCCGAAGGGTCAGTATTGCTATTAGAGCGTTGTTAACTTTTAAAATATTTTGAAAAATATCAGTGAACGAACTAAAAATACCAATGAAATGATTGCAATAGATTTGCTCTCATCTAAAACTAATCTCAGCTCATCTAAAACTGTGTTGTGAGCCAGGGCTTTGATGACTAAATCAAACCTAGCTTATTTCTATCTCAAACATACTAATCAAGAGAAGAATTCTTAATTTACCTTGTCATGGGTACCTCTGGCAAGCATCTACAACAGCAGCATACAGGAGGGGTACTTATTTTAACTCTAACATCACGGAGTCTTTTAAGCATAGCTGTGATTCCTCCATAATAGTTCACCATTAGGTTTAGAAGAGCGTGCATTGCAAAACCAAAATATCTGAAAAAAATGTAAATATGAAACTGATTTGTAAAATATGTCATTTTGCTGATGTTCTAATTTGAAACAATGAAATTAAAAGAATTGTTGAAATACGAAATATAGTGGTATTGTAAACATCGAAAATTGAATTGAATCGAACCGAGAATTGAACGGGAGATGCAAAATATACTTATTTTAATTTGATCTGAAATCAATGTAACTGAAATTTCCTTTTGTATTTCGCTTCATGTTCTACGTGTTGGCTTTTGAGTGAGCCAATTCAAATAAAAATATTCAGTTTAGTTAATCATGTGTGCAACCGATATAACCGTTGTGATAAATACACGATATTTCCTGGGAATACGACTGAGAAACTTTTTCCTTCATACTTTTTAAAATTCAGAATCAGCATAATAGTACATAATTTATAAATGTGTATCACTCACATAGAACAAACAAAATCTATCATTAAATTCCCACGCGGAAAAAATGTGCCGACGACCGCTGTCAATGTGAATATTGGTGGAATTCCTGCCTACAAAAGCAAACATAAATATTATATAATATATGAAATAAAAAATTCATAATACTTCAGTTATAAATTATAAAGAGCAGTTTATTATATGCATCTAATAGCTAAATTGCAGTTGGACGTAACACAGTGGGGTTGCATCATGATAAGCGTAGGAATATAGCCATCGCCCCTCTGTCTACCCTAAGTTTATTCGCAGATTCGAATCCCGTGTGGGGAAATTATGTGCGAGACGATTGCTTGACTCCTAGCCGCCGTAGGATGGTTCACGTAACTGCTGGTCGGTTACGGCTTCCTCCGCCACCAAGTCAAAATAACTGGCTGACTAATTCATACCCTACATGGACTGATAACCGAATGAGGGTCCTTGGTACGCCGTCTTTTCTACTTTTCTTTTCCCTGGGATAAATATGTAAATTCTATTTCATCCTAATAGAAAAGTGTGTAGTCAAATAGGCTATATTACAGTCGTGCAAGATTCAATCCTTATTCATCAAAATTATTTGGGTACTATAAACCCCGACCAAAACAACAGTAAAAAGCACCCTTATATAATTTTAAAAGAGATTGTAAAATTGTACGTGACTTGAAAACAAGACACAGAATGTAAGATATAATCGAGGATTGTGGGCTATAAATAGAAAACAAATATTTCCTTAACGCAGATCATTGGAAACCCGCAAAAAATAACAGCCTTGTTGACAGAAACAGGTTCTTCATATGATTTCAATTTTTGTATGAAGGAAAATTTCACAGTATATTATCAAGTATTGGTCTGATAAACACATGAAAGGTTACAATATGTGAATTCGTTTGACCCGATATCATGTATCGCGTTGACGTGGATAGGTTATGAGATTATTATTGCATACAATTGTAGACATATATATCAATGGCACTTTCAAAATATTTGTTACAAAAACTCCCATTTCAAAAAACTTAAGGTAAGTATCGACCTGTAAAACCGACATTCTTCGTCTTCTATAATTTTTTCTGATTTTGCTCCTCAAATAAAATATTTCTTCAATAAATATAGCGAGTGTGGTGAAGGCCATCACGATCAATACTAGATGAACAACTAGGTGCGTTGACCCCATACCTAAATAAACAAATAAATATGAAATGCTGAACAATAACTGTATTGTATAATTTGTGAATGTGTTAAATGTGAAGCGTGTGAAAATTTAACCAGTTTTTTGTTTAAAATGAACAGCGGATACAAAATATACAATAATCGTAACTAAAATTTTGAAATATTCTTTGAATGAATTTTTCATTCTTTTAATTTATATATTTCTATGTTATAATTTCTTTCACTTTTCCATTTAGTGATAAAATAACTATAATAAAGTTCAAATATATTCCAAACATTTTCCACTTGGTTAATTAACTCAATCTTTGGTGGTATTACATCTCAATAAGACTATATGAATTAGTCTGTGACAAAGAGAAGATTTTACCAAAGGCTACTGTGGTCGTGATGTTGGAGTCGTGGCTAAGATATTTAGTCGCAATTTAAAATGTAAAAAAAGTTTGAAAACTATGAATGTAGTAACAAAAAATATATATATGAGGGAAATTTAATTATGGAGGTGATTCAATAACAATGAGAAATCATGCATTTTTACCAAAAATCATTATGTAATTAGTCATACTTGATACAATTTCTTTTGCTGATGGCGGGGGACCTCTACATTCCTCTTGGAATCTTTGCAATTCAAGGTCTGACATTGATGTGATGTTCTGTAATGAAAAAAATTATAAAAACATAATCAAATCTTGAAAAGGTTTAATTATACAGTAAAAATTCAATTTTAAAAATTAGGGGACAGAGTACTTCTATATAATAAAATTATTCGCATTTATTAAACCGCTATTTTTGTACTTACATGAAAGGTAGGTGTTACATTTGAACTCGTCTCTGCTCACAAAAGATGAATTACTTTAGATAGAGGTAATAAGAAACCGATGGGGACATGATCAAAATTTAAAAAAAATTCAAAAGTTTTTAACTGGCTGATTATCATAATTCAACAAAATCAAAAATTGGTAAAATTATCTACAATTTGTTTCAAATATCTGATCCGTCCTGAAAAGCCAGATTTTGTTGGCATGCCAGCGCAATGTTGCTGACTCCAGTGTATGATGTGTACAACAATATAGAATGACTAAGGATGACGATAAAATCGCATACCTGTAAAGGGTTGAACCCACTGAAAAATCCATTCGTATCATGTTCGCCCATGATGCGCTTCGTAAAACCAGGTTGTGGAAGTCAATGGTTTTCCAAATGCTGAATTCTGACAAACGTCGCCGTCGCACAGACCCACGTTTCTCTAACTCAAAAAGTAATGGAAATTTATCATACGAAGTCTTTTATAAGATGTGAAACCATGACATGAATATTACGAGAAAAAAAAACTGTAATAAGAAGTAAGAAGAGTGGCCACGATTACTACTTTTGAAAAAATACATATTATTTGCAAATAGCAAACGATGTACCAGTCTGTTCAAATGATGCTACAATGATAAATATGATCTATCGTCAGCTATGAGCCGTGTGTGAAATTCACGTTTCACCTTTGCCCATACATGGCAAAAAAGGTAATATTATCATCGCTGACTCACTTTTGTGACCTTGCATACAAAACTATAGCAAAAGATCGCGTTCTCGCTAAAATTATCTGATATGCCAGCAATAAAAATTCTAATATGTTTTCTTCCTATACAGGTCAAATCCAGCGTTCTTTTTTCCTTTTCTTTACTTATGTATTACATGACACTCCCTGATCACATTTTCATATAAAATTATGAAACTAAAATGTTTGGCACTTCAAATTTATAACTACTTGGGTAAGGTTTAATACGACGTGAAATAGAATTCACTGGATATCAAAAGAAGGTTTTAGAAGTAGGCAGTTTTTTGAAAATACTCAAAGAGCTTAGTTAGTTCACTTAAAAGCTGTCTCATGATTAGCTTTCTAAATTACTTATGTAGCAACTATATTTTGAACAATTAAACCTACATATTGTAATTATATAGTGAGATTCTTTTTGTTTTCTGAATTGACCTAACCAAAACTCGAAGTTAAAAATCAGAGCACGCAATAAAAATATGCTTAGTTGGAGCACGTACAAAAATGGTACATTGAAATGGTAAATTGTTTTATATATTTCACTAAAATAACCCCACGGTAGGACTAAGAGGAATTTAAAAATCATATTTTCGACCTCGACTGACTTTCAACATGCTGTTATGCATACATTGAAATGGATTTGATACATCTAACATAAAGCTATTTTTAAAACTTTCAATGAATACATAATTGAATACTAAACCTCTGGTTCTATTAAAAAGATTACAATCCTTTTAATGCTCCTAATCATCGTCGTAAATCGAAATAATATTTTGACGTTCAGGCGTGTGAAGTACAATGTGGCATAAACATGATTGATGACGGCAGAATAAACCCTAAACATTACGCAGTTCACCTCAACCGGAAAAAGATCGAAAGTAATCGTTCGAAAAGCAGTTCAGTACGACACGATTTTACTACACGTAGAACTATATAAACTCAACCCAGTATTTCGAGATTGTATATCAATAACAATAGCCACACAGTGCATAGAGAATGATTTTACAATTTATCAATTACCACAAAAGCTGTTGCTTATCCGAAATTGGGACTGTTATTTGGTCTACAAACTTTAATTTGGGTAAATGTGCGTGGGATCACGTTACGGCAACATGTATAAAACAGTCGACACCCCGAACAATTACATTTGACTTTCTCTTTTGATCTTTCCACAGTATTTATGTCTGCCAATAAAAGTTTACGTAAACCAACACATTTAAACGTCTTGTAGATTAACGTGAATCAAGTAATACCCCGTGATACTATCTCTCTGAGCACAAAACCATTCGTAATATTCGAATGAGGCGTAGATATCAAATAAAATGTATTACTGTGCTATAAACCGTGTTGTAAATTGCTTTGAACTTACCTTCACACAGTGCTGAATGCAAGCAAAATTGGGCCATGTCAATATTATAAAAGGTAAAAAAAAAACATGAAGTTCAGCATAGTACTGTCGTGTGCCCTGCTTCAAATAATTTATTTGGCATGGAAAAAAGATTTCTATAAAAAAACTGCTATCCTACCATATAATAGGGCGCGATCAACACGATGTATATGCCAGATCATCGTTGGCCTAGTTGAATACTAATTTTGTACATGTAACGTGAGTGTGATAAAAAACGTCTTTTGGTGTGACTGTTTACCAATGGCAGAAATTGTAAAATATTTTGAATGGATTAATAAAAAACGAAATTTATTGTCAATTGAATAATCATATTGTAAACTCGAATAAACAGATATGAAAATTTCAGGTCATTTCCCATTATGAAAACTTCAAATGAATAGTTTATGCGTTCGAATAAACGAAATACAAACAGTGTATTTTTTACGCAATGTACTGTTTCGGAAAATTTCATTAGTCTTATTTTTTAGCTGCTCAAAATATTTTCATTTAACTCTAATTTACGTCAAAATAAATTAATTAATCAGGGAACCATTATTTATCTTCGGTTTGAGCATTTGAAGCAAAATATTATAGATATATTGCGTTTTAGTTCCGGACAAAAACTAAATAAAATTCCTTATTTTTTGTTTGTGTTTAAATTGAGAATTCCTTGCTAAATCGACTTTATTCTAGTTGAAATATAATTAAAGAGCAAAGCACCATTTATTTTTTATATTTTCATGAAATTTGGAAAAAAAAGCTCATCAGAAAAATTATGTTTTATGACTGACCAAACCATTTTAAAAATTTTGCGCTGAACGTATTTTTTATCAAATTTGAATAAAATCAGATAACATAACATAATATGAATATTGATTCTACGGAAAAGTTTTCAAATTTTTTCATAATGCTACTCTGTATAAAATTTTAGCTCGTAAGAAATTTATTACGAACGCCGTTTTCATAAATTACATACACAGATTTTCATACTCATGCTTTAAATTTCATTTATTTTATATACAATTCATTTCTGGTTATAAATATTTTGACGCAAGCATATAAACACTTCTATTTAGTAATATAATATAATATTATTAAATTTAATATTTTTTAGGCTTCTGTCACATTCCGGACAGATTATTTTAACCAAACAGCAGTTGACAGTCAGTTGGTCTTTATTAGATATTGGTACAAGCAGCTTATCAACATGTAGTAGTCATGAAGAGAGGAAAGGGTATAGAAGCAAATACAAAACTGGCATATGCAAAATGGCGTTTATAAAAGTTTCTTATAAAATTATAAAACGTCATAAAACACGTGTTTCATGATATGATGACGTCATTAACATAAAATATGTTGTTTCGGGCGTCGAATTATATTTTACTAATTAACCTCGAATAAAAAAAAAAAACAGTTTTGATCTGTGCGAGATGTTCTAAACGATTTCTTTAAAACGAACAGCAATACAGCCAGGAGGTTATTAGATAATAGATCATATGAAGCTCCCCCCTCACCAATCTTAGGGGTGGAGATTTATATGATAAAGCCTTGCTGGGAGATTTTGTCCTGACAAATGACTAAACCTAACCTAACCTGACGTCACTATGACAACATTTTATGATTTAGTGTGCGGGGGTGATCTCCATTAGAACGCGACTGGTGGGAGTCCTAATTTGGATAGACCCAACCCATATTTTTATTCGTGCTAATCGGTGTTTTAGATTTTCTATAATGATTATGACTTGAAATTTATTATATATTATTATCACTCGGCCGTTTGGTGACATTTTCTTGCGTCGCAGGCCCAATCGTTTTCTAGGTACTCGCGCCTGCACACAGTATAGTTATAGCCCTTCTGGAAAACTAATAATTCCCGTTTCTGAATATATGCCAGCAGCAATGGGGTCTTTGTGTCCTGAACGCCCGAATAAAATAAATATTTAGTGAGTCGTATCGATTGTAAATAATTATACAGTATTTACCTAAACGACAAGGTAACCATACCATGCAGAGCAGATGTGAAATGCGTAAATATAAACTAATTTTACTATAAGATTACATCTTATACACTGAATATACTTTCAGGCAGAAAAAACACAGCACGTACATCAAATACCGTGAACCCTGGACCGACTATCACCCCAACCTCAATCGTGAAATGAGCTAAAAAAAAGTCCGTGTAATGACCAAATACTCTCTTTCTGTGTTCACTATATATGCTTTTTTTACTGCACTTAGTTTTTTAATAATTATAAACAAAAAATCCGAAAATTCTAAGACATTTTAGATGCCTTCACGTTTTTCAATCTTGTGATCACGAGCAAACGCTTATTTAAGCATAAACCTATTGCTGAAATTTCCACCAACTGTTTTTGATCTTGATGTTGGATTATGTATAAAATAGTGTTAACAACTCAACAAGTTGAACTTCGCACTATCATCGTCGCATGATTTCTACTAATCTCCAAAATAGCCAACGGTTGTCGTCATGAAATAAATATGTGTTTGAAAGGTAAAGTAAGGAGAAAACGCAGGAATTGTCTAGATGTCAAATTAGAAGCTGATTTACAAATGTCGCCCTTTGCATGTAAAAAGCAATTGCATCGGATATTGGAATTACTGAGGTATCATGCCGATTGAAATTCGACTAAGCGAGTTTCAAAATACAAAAGAACAAGATAAAAACAATCACCATCAAACCCTGACAAACAAGCTAACCTACAAAATTAAGCTTTGCGTACTATGCACTCATAAGAAGTGATCGCACAAGATAACCAATTTTGTTTACATCTGAACTGCAAGAACACACTCAAAGTCCATCTTTCACACGCTGGTCGATGTCTGCTTTGGACATCAGCATACAAATTCTGATAGATATACTCTAGTACCGGCAGTTATTTACAGCCTATGTTTCTCTGCTTACTCTACTCGTTACGCCAATAGGTCTCGACGGCTGATACGTTTGAATTGCTGCGTGCAGAACAAGTACACGCGACTCGCCTCCGAGATAAAAATATTTCGCCACGTTACGTATTAACGAATCACTCTTCAGCTGATCCTCGATGTTTGAGCGGTCGACGAACCTATTTAATTTTACCGCGTTTTAGCGCAAACAAATGTAAGATCTGCGCGCTTTACAACAAAGACATAAAACCCATCAAAACTTTTCATTTCAATGGCATTAAAAATAATTGCTATATGACAATATTGACCATTGTGAATTGCATCGCCTAATTCAAAGTAAGATTGCCTAATCAAAGTAAATCTATTCTTCAGATCTAACAATTTAAGACGGGTATGCGAATCGTTCTGCTCAAACATTGTTTCTTACCGAGATTTGACCGAAAATGAAATGCAGATGTATATAAATATGCATGATGTTGTTTAATACAC